TGATTACGCTCTGAAAATTTCATTAAGATTGTATGTCTACAAAAGAAGTTATTAAACAAATAAATTCTCATACTATTGCCCACACTGCAGCGCAGCCCACGCGCAGTCGCTGCTTACTGCGCAGTTAGCACAGCGCAGGCGCGTGAGGGTGGATGCATATGTATGTATGTGTGCGTGCATAAAATAAGTGCAGAATGATAAGAATATCGGCTTGGAGGGTTCAGGATATCTCCTAGTCGAGCAGTCTCGTTCCTTCTTACTTGTTAATAATCTCTCCTCTGGCTTCTAACGCAGTTCCGTATTTAACTAAGCAAAGTTTAAAATTGTTTAATATGGTTGAAAGATATTCTCTCTAATATTTATCGAAAGTTCTGATCTTGAGCTGAAAATACATGTGCATTCTAAACCTAATGCAGAGGTCTACAATATTGCGTTGTGTATTTGGTCCACTATGAAGTGCATCAGTTAGAGACAAACTATCTTGGTCTTAAAATGAGCCATCGAATTCCACACGCAACTTAGCAGCTGGCGGTTATTTTGCTTGAACGGTGGCTCGACTTTCAGTATCCCTTTAACATTACGTGACGTGTTATATATGTAATCAATGGGAGATTTACACAAAGAACCTTCTCAGAAGGTAACAACTGCAAGGATAGGGACTTGCGGAATTGCATTCATGTTGTCCCTGTGCTTTCTTAGGTTTAGGTGCCATATTAATAGACGTAATCCCTCGAAATCGACTACTAAGATTAATATGCTTAAAGATTGACGCCAAAGAATGAAACGTATATTTAATTCAGCTTCTTGAAGCCAATGCAATTGGCGTACTCCCTGAAGCATTGACGAGAAACGTTCAGGACGTATTAGCGGATCAGACCATGTTGGTTCAAGCAGGCACGGCAGCAATGGGACCAAGGGAGGTATTTACGAGGCTGCGAGTACCAAAGAGTAGCAAACCCCGGTTGGAATTTACGATGGAAAATCGAAAAAAAGGAGTGTAGATCCCAGACACTTTCAATTTCCAGTTCCCAAATGTGTTGATGTCTATGGTAGCTAACAGTGAAGTTGTTCTATGACTATCTTTCCCTCCTGCTTATGTGATGATCTATCCAAAAACGGAATCAAGTGCGATTGTGTTCCTTTGGCCATTACACAATTTAGAACCGTTATCCAGCAGAAATTCGATTGATACGATGGTAATAAGCGCGAGATCTGCTTGTGTGTGACCGCCTGATATAAATAGATATTTTATTTTACCAACATCGATATAATATTTCTAAGCACGTATGCTTTGACCTTAAGAGATGAATTTGAGATATAGATGCATGTACATTCTGTCAAATAAGTATCTGGAGATTTGAAATAAAACAGAAACAACTTATCAATTATCTAAATTTATTATATCACCTTCAAATTAGTCCCCTTCTGAGGCAATACACTTTTTCCAACGAAGAATCCAATCATCGAAACGCTTTTTAAAGCCATATTTCGGGATGGCCCTCAGTTCTCGTTGCGAATTAGTTTTGATGTCTTCAATGCTCTCAAAACGGGTTCCACGAAGTTGTAATTTGAATTTTGGAAACAGGACAAAGTCACACGGAACCATATTTGTGCGCTGGTGCATTATCGTTGCGCAAAATCCATCTGTTGTTCCGCCACAAATCTGGTCTTTTGCGACGAAAATTGTCTCTAAACGGCTTATGACGCCAAGATAATATTCGTTATTGACGGATTAGCCCTCCAGTAAGAATTCCGAATGAACAACATCACGAAATCTTCAGTTTAAGAGGTCGATGGTCGTCCATAGTAAAAATCGCAATGCTCACAAAAGGTTGACTTGTTCCTGACCAAGCTAAATGCAATAAAATTTTACAGAATAATGGCAGACAGTTGTGCCAACCTGGGAAATTTTTTGACCTCTTGTCCTCTTTAGTCGTTGCGAGGATTCCCTCTGGATGTCCATGCTGTTCCCACGATGTCCTGGGAGTCCTTTGCAGTCCTGGTTTGCCACTCGCTTATT